GGGCATAGAGACCGTAATCTGGCATGTCAAGCTACCTCTGTTCATTTCTTTCTCATCAGAAAAAATTAAATAGGCTATTGGAAGAAATGTCTCAACCAGTCTAATTGCTAACAGAACAAACAGTCATCTTCTGCATTCTGCAGGTAAAGTTGTTCACACTTCATACACAGGGAGATTATCACACAATAAACAAAGAAACACAGCACCTCTAAGTGTATACAGCAATAATATTTAATAAGAAGGTAAGTAGTAACCCACATCTTAGAATTTGAAAACAGGCTCATGAGGTGGAGAGGTAAAACATCTGTAACCAGATGTTAGGTGACTTTTCCAGAGAGGAGATAGCCTAGGTCCGCCAGCAGATGGTGCTATGTATGTGAAGAATGGGTGGTGAAGCCTGGCAGAGTCTCCAAGATGTCCTGGATAGGTGACGTTCAGCGTCTCATGTCATCAATGTGCGATGCGTTTCTGAGCATGCGCGAGACGAGCGTCGCCTGGCACACTCTTTCATCAGGCCTGTTTTTAAATTCTAAGATGTGAGTTACTACTTACCTTCTTATTAAATATTATCACTGTATACACTTAGAGGTTCTGTGTTTTCTTTGTTTCTTCTACGGCAGAGTTATGCTTCGCTCCATCGCAGCTTGCCCTTAGTGCCTACTGGACTATCCCTGCCCACTTAGAACTTATTACAACATACATGGACTGCCAAACCATGTGCCTGTCATTCTCCTCGTATTGAGATTATCACACAATAGGGCTGAAAACATTTGTATTATGGAATAACCTGTGTATGGCAAGCTTTACTTTACTATGATCTGCATAATCATGTACAGTATCTACTAAAAGAGCAATACATAGAATTTAGCGTACAGTGTTTAACATCTACACTGTCTTAACCGATTTAAGTACCAGGGCACCCAAAGAGCAACAAAAAAACGTATAGAGTAGAATTTCCCCTTTTTGGTTGTAAGGGAAAAAGGGTCATTCTTAAATGTTAGATGTCAAGAGGATTTAATCCACAGTCCTGCAGCATCTGTTTGTATTGATGATGAATTGAAAGGGATTCACATGTCCACTTCTTCTCAGCCAGGGTAAGCTTTTGAAGTAATTGGTCCAAACATGACTATGAGAGAGACCAGAAGCAGTTAGACAGAAGTTATATGGCATTTTCATTTTTGTTATCAGTCAACTTCACACTGCCTATATAAATTCCTGCAGCACAGGGGCAGACTGACAACTCATGGTGCCCCTGGGCAATAGGGGATCATGGGGCCCCTGTGTCCTTGCCCAAACTCAAAAAAGCCTATGAAAAAGGTTGCAGGGGCATCTCATGGGGCCCCCTACTGACCCCGGGCCCTCGGGCAGTGCCTGAGTTTCCAAATGGTCAGTCCGCCCCTGCTGCAGCATTAACCTCTGGGGCTGGTTTTGGTTGGACTTGCAAATATTAGCTGCCAGAAAGCACCTCTGCAGGAGTGCTGTGAATACTTTTTGCTGCAGTGACACTATGGGGTTGATTTACTAAAGGTAAATAGGCTGTGCACTGCAAGTGCAGTTGCTTTAAATCTGAGGGGAAGCTCTGAAATGAGGTGAAGCGCTGCTGATTTCTTTCATCCAAGCAAAAATGTGTAAGCAAAAATGCTGTTTTTTTTATTTTCCTTGCATGTTCCCCTCAGATCTAGAGCAACTGCACTTGCAGTGCACAACCTATTTATCTTTAGTAAATCAACCCCTGTGTTTCTTTCATTTCATCAATTTTCTGTATGTACAGGCTTCATGGTGGGTTTGCCCAGTGTGCAAATTATCATTGCATAGCTCTCTCCCCTGATAAATTTACATTGGGACTAACAACCAGACACCTCTTATCTATGTAATGTATTTCTTCACTGGCCCTAATAACCAGACTCCTCCTACCTATATAATTCTCCATTGGTCCTAATAACCAGACCCATCATACTCATATAATTCTCCATGGCTTTCTAATAACCACACCCCACCTACCTATATAATTCTCTATTGGCCCTAATAACCAAACCCTTTCTACCTATATATTTCTCCATAAGCCCTAAAACCCAGACGACTCCTACATGTATAATTCTCTATTGGCTCTAATAACCAAACCCTTTCTACCTATATATTTCTCCATAAGCCCTAATAACCAGACGACTCCTACATGTATAATTCTGCATTTACCCTAATAACCAAACCCTTTCTACCTATATATTTCTCCGTAAGCCCTAATAACCAGACAGCTCCTACATGTATAATTCTCCATTGGCCCTAATAACCAGACTCTTCTTACCTATGTAATTCTCCATAGGCCCTAATAACCTGGCGATTCCTACATGTATAATTCTCCAATGCCCCTAATAACCAGACCCCTCTTACCTATGTAATTCTCCATGGGCCTTAATAACCAGACTCCTCCTAGCTATATAATTCTCTATGGGCTCTAATAACCAGACCCCTCCTACCAATATAATTCTCTATGGGCTCTAATAACCAGACCCTTCCTACCTATATAATTCTCTATGGGCTCTTATGACCAGACCTCTCATACCAATATAATTTTCCATTGGTTGCTATAACCAGACCCCTCCTACCTATATTTTTCTCCATGGGCTCTAATAACCAGAGCCTTTCTACCTATATAATTATCCATGGGCTTAATAATAAGAACCTCCTACCCACAGCTGACCACTCACCTGACCCTGTCATTACACTGCCTGCTTGTTGCTTGTCACAAAATACAGTAGATGTGATGAATACAGACAGAAGATGCATTTGAATAATTATTACAAATTTCCTAATAATGGCAGTATTAACGGGTTTAAATAGCAAAGCAACCAGGTAATTTGTATGAAATATTTGCTACACTACCATGATTGTATATTGTAAAATATGTTGACGTGATTCACGAAACACTTTTTTAGGAAATAAATACTTTATTTGCCATTATATCTCTTGTGTTTTGATCTTTAGGATTGGGGACTCTCAAATCAATCACATACACATTCTTGAGCACTGGAATTTAGATATCCTGTTGGAATTGTGCAGTTGCACTCACGTCAAGGTTTCTGTGATCAAAAATATACAACTTTTAAAATGTGAGGAGATGTGTAATTTCCAGTTAATGAAGATAGTAAAGTATATAAAAAAAGTTAAGGTATTTGTGAACGGCATACAGTAAAGTAACACTGTGAGGAAGAGAGTATTATCTTTTTGCCATAATCACATTTTAATATTTAATGTAAAAATGTTTTGTTCATTTTATTTCCTTTTCATTTGGCGGTCACGTGACTGCACAGCCTTTGTTCTTCCCCTTAGCAGGGAAAAATATAGTTGGCGCAAGGAGGATGACCTCACACACAACTGGGAAGCACATTTCTGGTCTGCGTACATTGTTTCTGCAGCTACTGCGTTGATAGCTTACCACCTTTTCTTCAAGCCAAATCCAAGCATTTTTTTCTTGTTGTAGTATACACTATAGGATTTTAAAAGACCTGGGACACCATTGGGTGCCCCAAGCAGAGTAGAAATGAGGGGCGCATAGAATGCTGTGGTGAGCAGTGAGTGTGGCCAGATTGTTTTAACAGTGGGAGGGGCTTAGAGAGGCATTGTTAAATAAAATCATTATTGTGCCCATAAAATATACTTAGCTTAATAAAACAAATTGTTAACATATAAACTTAGCCTTCCTTAAAAGTGGACAGTGTCAGTCAGTAGAGCAGTAGACAGTCAGTAGGGCAGTGGATGGTGTGTGGACAGGGTCAGCAGGGCAGTAGTGGTATCAGTAGGGCAGTGGACAGTGTCAGTAGATCTTTACATTTTATAATTTACCTTTATTTTTTTATTTTTTAGAAGCCCTGTTGGGGGGCTTTGGTAAAATATCATGGGTCTAAACAGATCCCTGATGTCTCACTTTTTGAGACAGAGAAAGGGACTGAGGGAGCCGAGATTCCTCAGCTGTGCTGAACGGCTTCCTGTTCATTCACAAACTGAAGCATAGTAAACACATGTGCAGTTCTCTTGTTGCCTGACTCTGATGATGTCCAGTCATGTAGGACAATATTACTGCTAATATCAATAAAAAGTTGTGCAAATTATTAAATGGTAATTTCATGGATCTCCCCAAGAATATCTAAATTTATGAGTAGCAAGCAAAGCCTTTTAATACACCATTAAGATGTCTGGATGCCTAAGAAAGAGAAGCCAGGCTTGGTTGCAGCCTCCTGCCTAGTGGCCTTGATGCTCCTATAGGACCCTTAAAGACATGCCACTTTACATGAAAACAAGGTAATGTTCTCCCTTTTTTATTTATCAACAGTAAGGGTTAATTCATACGGGCAGTGTCTGCATTTTGATCCGTTCTCTTGCCCACATGTCTGTGCAGCCGCTGTGTTTGTATCCACTTCTATGGGATGCCTGCATGCAGCTCTAAGGCTCTAAGGTGAATGCAGGCACAGCAAAAAGCAACTCAGTGCATGCAGAGGATGGCTCTCAATGCCCATCTGAATAAGTCCTAGGGAAATATTACCCGTGAAGAGTAAATAATATATTTTAGAAGGGTTAGAAGTTGTTACCCTTTATCATATTACTAGCAATATACTTCTGTTTCGATGGGGACGCAATATATTTCTGTGTCCCCATCAAGAGATTTCCTACCACTTCCTGCGCTGACAGGAGATGAAGAAAAATCTCTCCAGGAAAGACGCATATGGTCATAAAAACCGGCCACAGACTCTAACCATTCCTCACTTTATCCAAAATAAAATGTATGCGGGTGTGAGGGCAGAAAGCAGAGAAAATTGTGTTTCAAGGTATACCATAGAAAAAAACAGGCACAATCAACACACACACATGTGGGGTACATGTGAGATAAATAGTGCGAGACTTTACTGGGCTTTCACTTGTTCCTACAAAACACATTTCTATATGTTGCATCAATAGTAGTAGAAACAATAACTTACATGCAGTATAGTCTCATATTCTGCATCCATGTTTTCTATGTCTTGCCTCAATTTTGTGATTTCAGCTTCTTTTTCTTGTGCCATGTTCTCCGATTCCTCCTCAAGGGTTTGCAGAGCTTCTTGGGTTATTGCTGTAGATTTTAAAAATGAAGCAAGCATTTCAAATGTGAAAAACGTTCATTCAGAAATACTTTTGCTTGTGCTGTTAAAGTTTCTCTTAACCCGAGAACAACAATGTGATACATTGCAGCTTAGCAGTCCTTAGATATTGTGTTAGTTTTCTTTTTATTCAGGGTCAGAGGATTTTCTGCAAGTACTGAAAAATTCTTGTTGACTTACCGTGCAGTGACCTCAAATTTCAAACAATGTTATCTGCCGAGCAGAGCTGCCGGAAGACATGGATCCCCCTTCTGTTTGTTGCTGTCATATCGGAGATAGCTGGGCATAAACAGACACAAGTCTGTTTACATATGACTGCCCATAGAGGAAAATGGAGGATCTGGTCAGGTCCACCTGTCCATTTTTCAGGACCACCCGTGTAAAAGGTACCTAAATATATTAGTCCTAACCATTATAAACATAAACACAAAATATCTGCAAAACAACATTACATTGTCTATAAAATTCTGCATTTGTGTTATATGCACAATGTCTGTACATAGTGTATGTTCATGAGTTTAATACAGGGGTTTATTTATGACATACACAGTTGTAGTTTTTAATTTGGCCACCTCTTCCTCCAGGACCTGTATACGTGATGAGCTCTGCTGTTCCAAATCTTGATGCTGACGAGTCATTTCTGATACATGAAGAAAAGAAATAATAAAGACAATATTTCATACAGAAGCATTAAACAATTTTCTATTTATGACCCATTTACTTTCCACAACTTGCTGGAGCCTGATCCCATGCCCTTCGAATGAAGCAAACCCTCACCCCCTGGATGTACTGAACATCGCTGCTCTCTCCCCAATCTAAAAAATTTTTTTTGCTTTTGTTTGTTTACCTTTTCAAAAAAAATTTCATACAGCCCTGCCCCCCTGAGCGCCATTTTTGCCTAGACACAAATGATGTATCCACAAATGAAGCCTCCAGGGATATCACCTATCCCAGCATGCCTAACATTTCATTCACAGCAGCCGAAGGAGGGAGGGTACATCATCAGGAGGCTGGGCTACCTGATCCAAGAACAGACACCCACCACTAGTTAATGTCAGGAACAAAGATGGAGGTGCAGGACAAGGCTGTGTTGCAGCAGCAGGGTGGACCACAGCAGGACAGCGCTTGATCCTCTGGGCAGACGGGTACGTAAATTGAAGGCAACCCTTGATAACAGGTAAAGGAAAGGGGGGGGGGGGGGTCCAAAATTAAGTTCCTCTTTCAGAGACCCAGAACTTTGGGATCTTAATTCACTTATCAAATCTTGATGAGGCCTCTAAACATTATATATGCAATAAAAAGCTGACCTCGAGCAATTAGATAAAATCTAGCCTTGTAGTGTGACCTGCATGTTGCTACGGTACACAGTCAAATCATTATTTATTCTTCTGAATGTACTGTTGCTGACCCCTTTGTACATTGTGGGATAAAAAATGCATTCACTTCATGTTGTACTTCGTAAATATAAAAAATATAAGAATGTTGAAAAGTGAAAACAATTCTGGACGAAGCTCACAATGACAACTGCCACAGCATTTTACCATGCGGACAGTGTGAACCTAGCCTTAAAGAAACGGTCAAGCAATCTCACATAAATAGCCATAGACCCAATACATTGTAACTTCTCATTTAATAGCACCAGGCTGAAGCAATCATCAAATGTCCTACTAGAAATCCAACAAATAACACAATCAAAGCTCAGGTAATTAAAGCCTAGCCACAAACACTAATTTTAGTTCAGGACACTCCTGCTTAAGACATGGTCTCTACATACTAACATTTCAAACACTACTATTTGGACAAGTAAATTAGGGACAATAGAGTTAAAAAGTGGAGAAGGGGCCTTACATCAGAGCATCAAGCATGCCTCCTTTTCTAATAGGATATTCTATAGATACCAAACTATATATGTGTGTAAGTGTATTGGTACTAGCTAGTTAAGTGCTGCCCCAGACAGGAGACTAAGGGTTAATGCCTTTTCTGGTTCTTTAGTTTTTTGGCAGGTTATCTTTAAGTCCGACCCACTGAGCCTGTGATATAAAAGAGGGACAGTGGTACGGAGGAGAGAGCCCCAGGGGTTTGTTGGAGAGGGAGTTCCCCTACCAGAGTCTGAGAACCTTGCTACTAGTTCATCAGCTGTGCTCAGTGAAGGATACAGTCACTAAGGAGCCTGAAATATGTGAGAGCCATCCAACCTGGGGTTCGCCCTGAAGACACCAGCCATTGGGATTGCCACTAATGGACCTTTATTCGCATGGACCCTACCTTTGCAGGTATGCTGCGGCTGAGTTAGCATTAGGGACTAGGGAAAAAGACTATTCTCTTTTTGGACTATGTACTGTTTGTACTTTATACAGTAAAGCTTTAAAACTTTGCCTTCTGCCTGGTCTGAAGTACTTTAAAGGAGTGTAATGCAAGTAACCGGTGCCTATAGTCTAAGGTTTGGGTCACGAGCACATAGGGTATGAAGAGTTGGGACGTAAAGAGTCAACCTAGTGCGAGTTATACATGTGGTTGTCATGAGCAATGAATGTACAGTCAGCAAGCAGCCTGTCAGAAACGTGTACCTGTTATAGGTTGAATTGCCTCTAGCTGCAAGGGAGATGTTGTTGGCACTTCCTATGCTGCATTCCGTCCCCCATAGCAGCCGGAGCAGAGCTGTACCACAGAGGTCCCCATCCTATACAGAGGTACGGAAGTTCAAGAGTTAAAGTCAAGTGCACGTTGGAGCCCGTGCTATGTGCATGACGGGGGTTTCATGCTGCTAGCAAGACTGGTATTGGGAGAACGATGGACAGGTGGCTGTGGTAAGTGTTCGACATGGCCTGCCTAGTTGCAAGCTACAGTGAGAAGATGTACATTTACACGGGGACCCGAGAGTTAACTGGAGAACAGTTGTGCAAGTGTACATGATGTATGTTCATGAGTGGAGGACCGCCTTAAGGTCGACTATTCCTTGATGGCAACTTCAGTCTTGCCCCAGGGCATTGGTGAAAACAGCGCGAGCGTAAAGGTACTACATATGTGCAAAGTGGAGTGATCCTGTTACAGGTGCCTAGCGTAGCCCAGGAGAACCCACCCCAGGAATAATCCTAACTCAGATTTGGCATCCTACGAGTTAATGGGGAACATGGAGGAAGGTCTGTCATCAGCTACCCCCCTTGTCACATGTGCTCCATTCTGAATAAGAGGGTACCAAATATTATTTGTAAGCTAGGCTTTCCACTGTAAAAAATATATTTCCCTGGCAAAACTGCAGTCCAGCAACAGAGAAACCAATGAGGAAAGACAACTGCTAACAATGATAACATACACTATAAGCTAGGATTATTCCAAAGTGTTACTAAGCTAATGTGAGATGCTATAGTACATTTATCATTACATATATTGATGATTGTATATAGATTTAACATGTCTATTGGGGACCTTTCCAATATGATCTTATTTGTTTAAAGCCTTACAAATCCATTTTTTTTTTTTTGGAAAGAGAAAAAAAAAGTTCATTTCTGTCATGCCATCACTTCCCGTCCTTGTGGTGCCATACAAGAAATGGGGCAGTAGGTGTCACTGGGACAAAAGGGAAGTTCTAAACTTTCTCCATGTTACTAAAAACATGTATTTTTTATGCATCCTCATTGGAGATATTTCTAGTCACTTCAGTCTTCAAAGAAAGTGAGGGAAACTCTTCCCAATAGGGACAAAGACAGCAATAAATACCTGGCAGAGGTCCTAACACTGCCCCACCTTTCCCAAAATAAAATGTTTTGGCAGGAATTGATCTTTAAACTATACTCTTTATACTGATAAAATAGTTTACTTACAAAAATGTTGTATTTAATAAATTATTAGTATGTATGTATATAATTTTTACTATTACATCATTCTTTTATTACATTGTATATTACATAAGAGTGCTTACCACTATAAATTGCTTGTTTTGTATCTCTTTCCTCCTGTAGATCTTCTAATAGCTCATGTAGTTTTCCCCGCATTTCCTGCTTGTGGTATTGTGCCTGGCGCGTCACTTGCCTTTGCAAAGCTATAAAGATATTTGAATATGTAAACAAGAAAAATAGGTACTATCGTTGGCACATAGTGTTAGGAACTAATGAACATAGCTGAACTGGCTAAAAATATTCAATACTACCAATTTTAGTTTAAATTAGTTTAAAAGCTTAGTGTCTTAAGGATATCTCTTGTACCCTGTATACTGCTTGATCACCACTCACTTCTTTCAAGATGGCAGATACCAGATGTTAGACATTTCATGTACACACTGTAGGACCTATTTGATAAACGTTAAAAAGAGAAACAATAGCTCATGATCACTTAGATCTACACCAAGGGTGTTCAACCTTTCAAAGAGCGAGGGACATTAAGCGATTTGGTAACCGGTCGCAGGCCACAATGAAATTAAATGGTTCATAATTTTTAATTTTTTTGTTTTGAATATCATAATAAACATTTTCCACTGCAGCCGCCAAATGCCGGTGGGACAGAGAGGAGGAGAACACAGCTTTCAGTAGTTGTAGGGGGAAAATGAAGAAGATAGGTTCCTGTATATGCCACCCCACCGCCCCTCCTGTCCAAGTGCAAAACAGATTATGCACAGGCCACTGGAGCATGAGGCAGCATTGCCACTGTTACTCCCTGATGCTGCTCCTATAAGACTGTTTTTACACTGATGTGCTGTGGTTTACCCACACTGCAGTGCACTTGCAGGTTAGCTGTGCTTTGCTATAGACTTCTATTGTATCTTGTGGGTGCGGTGCACTTTCTGAGAGTGCACCAAAACTCCTGCGTTTAGTTTGAGGTCAAAGGCCACATCAGAGGGCTCCAAGGGCCACATGTTGAGCAGCCCTGATCTACACTTCTTTGTAAACGAGCATGGGGCAGTACCAGCAACTACTACTACTACTTTTATTACCCCTGGCTCTGTTTCCAAGCACTCAAACACCCTGCTTTTGATCCTTTACTATGGGAGACTTTATGGACCTCAGGGGGTCACCCTTCCAGACCTCTAACTCTTGACCCATGTCAACATACAACATACTAAATATCAGCAATTTAGGAATTATATAGGGTTGACATGTGGAGGCCCACTCTCCAGTGTGCAGTGGCCTTCTCACGTCAACAAGACTTGGTGGGGGGGGGTGTCTTCTTATGCAGATAAATCTATGTAGCTGCCACGTAGCCACAATTGCTTTAACTGACCTACCTCATTTTCTATAAATCAAACTATTTTCTACTCCCACCAACAATTGTGGTTGACCTGAGTACACTGCTGTTCAGGTGTGCTGTGCTGTTCATCAGTGTTCCTAACAGCCGTGGTGACCCCGAAGTATGCGGGTTTGGTTAATACATAATATTCAATAATGATGCTCCTGCTTAATGAAAACTAATAAAAACATTGTGAACAATATATACCTCAATCTGCTGACTCTAAATTATTAATGTCTAATTGGACAATAATAATATTTTATTTTTCACTGATTTTGTTAACTTATTTGATGCATCACTGGATTTTCTTTGTTCTTTTGGTAATACATGCTTCCAAATTATTTAGTGCTACATAATGTATGATCACAAATATATAGAGATCATGGTTTCCTTCTCTTTGTGTGTATTAGTTTTGGGGGAGAACTATACCCTTGTCAATTTTTCAATCGATAGAGTGTTTTGCTGCAGGGTCCAGCCCTGACAATTTTTTGGTCCTGTTCTTAAGAAGTTAGCCAGCATTGTGTCCCGTATCTTACTAATATGTTTAACCAACTTAAACACACTGGTAACATTTTACCAGCTTTGCTGAAAGCCAACATAGTCATGTTTCTGAAGCCAGACAAGGACACCCAATCTTGGTCTAACTTTTGCCCCATCACATTGTTACACATAAACGTTAAAATCCTAATCAAATTTCTGAATTCCTTCCTCAGCCACCTTATCCAAAGAGACCAAGTAGGTCTTTGTTCCTCTTTGCCAGGTAGCTAATAACGTTAGATGAACACTTTTCCTCAATCACCTAGCCCCCTAGAGACCACATCAGATCATGCTACTCTTTTTCCAAATATTCCCAAAGCATTTGATACTTATCATGATAATTTTTGCTCACTACATTATAATGTTGGAGTCTTGGTGATGTTTTTCTGAAAAGGGTTGGTGAGTAATATGACACCCCATCTGCCATGGTCAAACACCTTTCCTTATGGAACGCACTAGGGATGCTCCTTATCACCATTACTATTTATTCTTGCCTTAGAGCAGTGTTTCTCAACTCCAGTCCTCATGGACCCCTAACAGGTCATGTTTTCAGGATTTCCCTCAGCTGTGGTAATTACTAAGGCAGTGAAACTGATCAAATCACCTGTGCAAAATAATGGAAATCCTGAAAACATGACCTGTTGGGGGTCCATGAGGACTGGAATTGAGAAACACTGCCTTAGAGGCACTTGCCGCACATATTTGATCAAACAAGGATATCAAGGGCTTGGAGATTGAAGGGTGTCCACCACAAGATCGCCCTATTTATTATATATTAACGTTCCCCCATATTACCCTCCCTAACTTGTTATCTCTCCTTATACAATTTGTATCTATTTTTGGTCTCCATGTAAACCGCTCAAAATCTAATGCTTTGAATGTTATCCTATCCCTATCTTTTAAAAAATTTCTACAGACCAGTTTCTTTTTCAGTTAACCCATATTTTGTCATACCTTGACATTATACTCTGTGACCTTCAGCTCCTTGTATAAAGCAAACATCCTCCCATACTAAACATCTGAGGAATCTATTACCATTCTGGGACCATACTAAAATCTCATGGTTTGAGTGTAGCCATACAATTAAAATACTGCTTAGTCCTAAATTACCTTACCCCTTCTGAGTCTTATTCCTATTGCTATTGTTGTTGGAGTTCACGTGGCTTTGGTCTACACTCACCTAGATATACAAGGGACTCACACTTTCCAGCAACTTTAATAATCTTACAATATCCCCAACAGTGAACTTACAAATATGATACTTTATTGACTCCCTACTCAAAAACAGAGGCTTACATTTGTAGCATTTGAATCAATATGTAAGTCCAACCCTTCGACGAAGGGCGCAATCTCTCTGTTGTATTCTGGTTTTCTGGAAAAATAATCCAACTAAGTAAAGACTGTTGTAGAGGGAATCTGATCGTAAGAGATCCTTCCCCCCTTAGGGCAGGGAGGAGATTTGGCTGACCCTTTTCAAAAGCTGCCATAATGTGCAGGCCTTGAAAAACTCCTAGAAGGTATTGTCTCACTTGTATTATATCCCCACAAAAATTGCAAAATGTATACTGTTCCATGTTTTCCGAGGTGCTCAAACAGAGAATTTGCTACACATATGGTGGACCTGCCGTATGGTTTGACACTTGTGTATATGGGTCTACATTAAGATCAAGATCCTCTGGGTAAACCTCTGTAAGAACTCTTGAGAGGTTCTACTACACAAACCTGTGAGCACTGCAGCTTACACATCTGCAGTCAGGGACATATACCAACACCCACACGGATGTCAAACTGGGAGCAGTGGTTTTGTCTCTGCAGATGCTGCATCCCAATAGACATGAAAATGAACACCTCTGCATCCTGTGCCGACAAAAACAGCCCTTTGCATGGGTGTACGCTTAAGTACAGCCATGATCCAATACACTTGTTAGAAAGCACACAGAACTCACTCATCACCTGTCCCAAAGCAAAGCTAATGGTATGACCTTGCATGCAAAAGAAAGTCAGCTTCAAACAAAAGTAACACAGTCTTTATTAAAAATCTGTGTACCGAATGTGATGTATAGTTCACAACAGCATCAACCATTTAATATATTGTTCCACACTACAGCAACAGATCTGAGCGTCTGAAATTTTGAGTCTATGGTACACTTAAATACCCCTGTGTGAATGAAGCTTAAGGCTAACATGCCTTGTGAAGCATAGTAAAGGCAAAAATATTGAGAAATATTGAGAAGCACTGTGATAATTTTACTTAGAAAATGTTAGTGCTCTAACATTATAAAATGTTATATATATATGCTATACTGTGCTATAATTATATTATATATACATATAAAAATGCAGCGCTGTAAAATGATCAAATCATGCAAATCAACACAATAATAGTCCTGAAAAGGTGCTAAATAATTACCAGTGCCAATGGAAAGAATGCAAACTAACCAGAAGCGCATTTAAAATACGCATGTGTGTAAGAAATCCTGGAGATTCCCCTCTCTCCCTCTGGTCAGAAAATGGATATGTGCTGAAATGGATGACGATGACGCCCTCTTGTGGGAAAACAAAATCCTGCAGGCCAGGAAGCTCCCAGGATAGGATATTCCTCTTCAATGGAACCAGGGCTGGGATTGAAATCACTCTGTGGCTGTGAAGTTGGGAGAAAGACCCCTCACAGAGAACACAGAGAGATACTCATAGTATAGTATATTACTTCAATTTATTTAAAAAAACCAAGTAAAACATATAATCAGGTGGCAAGTGAAAGTGACCCACTGACCCTCTTAAAATTATAGGTGGCCACTGGGCCTCCACATGGCACCGGCGGCGTAGTGTCAACGACGTCCACAGGCTCCTTCTGATGCATTTTGTGCGCACGCACTTCTTCTGAGGTAGAGCAAGGACTATTATTGTGTTGATTTGCATGATTTGATCATTTTACAGCGCTGCATTTTTATATGTACCGTATTTGCCGGCGTATAAGACGACTTTTCAACCCGTGAAAATCTTTTGAAAAGTCGGGGGTCTTCTTATACGCCGGTATACGGCGAGCCGGTGTCAGGGCGGCACTTTTTCGAGGAGCGGCGCCGCCCCCCCTCCTCCTCCAACGCACACCAAGTACAGGGGTGGGCAGAGGGGCTGCTGTACCTTACCTGGCTCCGGTCCCGGTCCCACGACGATCCGGTCCAGGAAGCGCGGCTGCTCCTTCTTTCAGTTCGGCCGCTCGATGGTCCCGCCGCCCGCTCGGCTCCGCCTCCTCACCAGTGATTGGGCGCCAGCACTGGAAAGGCACACAGGCGACCAATCACCGGCGAGTAGGCGGAGCCGAACGCCCCGCGAAAATCAAGCGGCCGAACTGAAAGAAGGAGCAGCCGCTTCTCTCCCCCACTGACACTAACGATGGGGCACTATTCCTCCTCCACACTGACACCAACGATGAGGTACTGTTCCTCCCCCACTGACACCAACGATGAGGTACTGTTCCTCCCCCACTGACACCAATGATGGGGCACTATTCCTCCCCCACTGACACCAATGATGGGGCACTTTTCTCCCCACTGATACCAATGATGGGGCACTATTCCTCCCCCACTGACACCAATGATGGGGCACTATTCCTCCCCCACTGGCACCAATGATGGGGCACTATTCCTCCCCCACTGACACCAACGATGGGGCACTATTCCTCCCCCACTGACACCAATGATGGGGCACTTTTCTCCCCACTGATACCAATGATGGGGCACTATTCCTCCTCCCCACTGACACCAATGATGGGGCACTATTCCTCCTCCCCACTGACACCAATGATGGGGCGCGTTGGAAGAGGGGTAGTCTTATACGGCGAGTATAGCTCAAACCCTATATTTTAACAGGAAAAGTAGGGGGTCGTCTTATATGCCCAGTCGTCTTATACGCCGGCAAATACGATATATGTTTTACTGAGGATTTTTACATGCGTTTATCCTGGATGTTCAGCTGCTGTTTCTTTGAGAGCGCTCACTGTGTGTCCTTTACCTATACATAATTATATTATAGTATTATTACATTGTATAATTAACATGTAACCAATTAGATGTTACTTACCAAGGTGATCCTTTAAGACATCTACCTCTACAGTGGCTTTTTTGTGTTTATCTTCCATCAAACCTATTAGAATGAAGTCACTTTTTATAGGGTTCCATCACATATACAGACAATCAAATAGACACAGTAATTATCTATACTCCCTACAATGTACAGTGGAGATCCTACCTGAGATAATTATTCACCTAACTATATATGTAAATATTTATAGAAGACATTTTATTATTATTTTGTGTTTGGTTGTACATTTTTAATCTCCAAGAATTTCAGTTATCTGAAGCAGTATCACACCCAAAAGCAGACGTTATATTGCAGCTTACTAATTCTTAGATGTGATGGGTGTATTAATTTTTATTTGTAGGCTTTCTTGCTTCTGCTTTCATCTGGTGATCATTCTGTTGTTTTTCAAAGGAACAAGCTCTCTAGCAGAATGTATCAGTCACACAGACTAGACAAATCATTTAAGGGGTGCTTACAATGCTCAGCTATTATTTATTTGTGTAAAACCTTTATCCCAAAGGAAAAAAAAAAACTGTTTTCTGCTTATAAAGTATTAGCTGCAGTTTGTTAGTGAATTTAAATCTGCTAGTACATCTACCACTCCCTCCCCCTAGAATTGCAATGCTGTTGTCCAAAGGTGCCCCGTGTGCTTCTTCATCCAGAGTGGGGGCACTCTAATACAGGAGTCGTGTCACTGGCCAGAGCACCAGGTGAAAACAAAGGGGAAAAAAGCCTTAAAAATAAAAACAATGCAGCCACCACATCTAATGATTGTTAGGCTGCAACATATTACATTTTTGGTCTTGGGTTTAATATGGCTTTAACTCCAAACATTTAGCACAGAGATGAATGCAATGACACAAATCCAACAATGACTACATCCTAGATAACCTTCATGGTACTGAGTACAGGTGGACATTTTTATGCACTCTAAATCGATAATTAACTCTTTAAATGGTTAATAACTCAGTCATCAGTAATTAATACAAAGTTGTAAGATTACTAATCTTTTAGTCACATTTTAGCGATGTTTCACAGAATTTAGTAAATATGCTAAACTAAATAAACATTCACTTTGCAATAGGAACATACAATTTCTAAAGTGCATGTCCTATTCCTTTACTAAATCAGCCCTATTGTTTTGCTCTCAGGGGGAGTTGAAGTAGTAAAAGCGAGAAACACTGGGGTATCAGCGTCCCCAGGATCCTCGCCTTGTTCTCTTTTGTGTTCTCTTATTGTCCTTGAATATAGGTTGTGTACCCTCTGTAATGATGAAGTCGTATGACTTAGTGCTCACACGAGGCTGAGAACTTTCCATCCCTGTATGACAGTGCTGAATGTTTCATCGGTGTTGTCACATGGGAGGAAGGGGATTGAGACATATGCTCCGAATCTGGACACATCAGGTATTGTTCATATGTGCTGCTGCTGCTGCTGGGGTCCTGTTCCCCTCTTGTAAGCACATTTCGAAATAGAGACTAAGAACCCTGTACAAAGCAATTGTGAGCTCATTAGCCTAGAGTGCTAACACTCCCTATCTTATTGTGAGTGCTGATTCATAGGAGATCACAGAACGCTGATATGAGGAGAATGCAAAACATCTTGTGAATGGAGAAGAGGGGGATGGATAACAGGATCCGCCTCCTTCAATCAGGGCTGCTGTTAGAAACCATGGGGCCCCTTTCAGTCAACCTGGCAGGACCCCTCCCAAACCACCGGGCCCATTTCCACAAAAAAAAAAAAACAGTTTACTATGCTTCAGTTATAAATTAACACAGCGAGTGATTGGTACCAATCACTCATCATGTTCATTCAGGAAAGGAAGGGGCTGGTAAATTTCTGGAACTGATCCCCTGAAAGCCAGTGGAGAGGGGGAGAGGAGAAGAAGCCAGATTTCAGCTGCGGCAAAGAGAGACATACAGGGGATCGGTTTCAGTAATTGCCCCCCACCGAGGTGCCGATCACCCTCCCTGCCCATGTCTTATTCACCCAGCTGCCTGGCCCCCCCTGCTGGCCTAGGCCCCATACAGGAGGACTGGTGGTACCCCCTTATCCACGGCCTTGCCTCCAATCATATAGCACCTTGCATTCTGGGAAAAAAATACTATGGATTTGTGAATGGGTAAGAAAGGAGGAATGGGCAGGTGAGTAGCTTAGCCAATGCATGTTGCAGTTGCAGCCTCTGATCTTAAAGTGGTTATAAAGTCTAAACATTTATATCTTAATGCATTCCTTGCTTGTTTAGGCATCAGCATCACTCACCAAACCCCCACCCCCTCTTTTACTCACCTGAGCCCTCATTTGATCCAGCGCTGTGCCCATCTCCAGCTCTTCTCTCCCCTCACTTTCTGGTCTCACAGGCTTTGCTGAGGCAGCAGGAGCCATTGGCTTCCGTTGCTGTCAATCACAGTCAGTGAGGAGGGAGCTGGGGGGGGGGGGCAATCTCATAGGCACATAGAGGCAGCTCGGGAGCAAGCCTGCACAAGTGCCCCCAGAGCAAGCAGCTATCTTTGTGGGCGCTCAGCAAGGGTGAGGGGACAGGAGTGCCAGTGGGGGACCCAAGAAGAGGAGGATTGGGGCTGCTCTGTGCAAAACCATTACACAGAGCAGGTAAGTATAACATGTTTGTTATTTAACCGCTTCCCAATTGCCCAATAGAAGAAGTACTGCTACAGGGCAGCAGGGATGCACAAAATCACATACACAATTTTGTATTTTTAGGTAGGGGGTGCGTGCGTGCGTACAGCGTACCTACGCTACTATTGGCTCCTCGGCATGGCAATCACCAGGTCCTGGACGCCGATTCTAGGCCGGGACTCGGTGATTGTCGGTGGAGCTGAGAGGGGAGAGGTCTGTCTGTAAACAATACAGATCTCTCCCCTGTCAGCACAAACAGGCTGCTTTGTATTGCTCTGCACATGACTGAGGGACATGCAGAATATCATGGCTAATACCACCTTACCAATAAAACAACCACCCCCTCAACCTTCTCCCACCTGAAATAACCACGTGACTCTCCTTTTGGTGTATAACCGGCCATAGCAGCCCATTTATTTAACATAACTCTTACATAACACTTCATACAGTACAATCAAATAATAACTGACAGTAATGATCCCAACCGGGTCCAAGGTCTTCGAAGGCACTATTACTCACATCAATAACTCGGCTGTATCCGACACCCAATGAAAAGGCCCCCAGCCGCTACTACACCGCCTCGGAGACAATACTACAGCTACATAGTCCTAGATACAGCCCATGAACTACCACCTTACTAATGTAACCTTATAATTGGGAAGGAACACTCATACCTACGATGGGCCCAACCCATAATCCACCAAATTGTCACTCCAGCACCGCTGCCAGCTGCCATGACAAAAAAAAAAAAAACACCAGACAAACACCTCAGGACACAAAATGCTGATCAAGGAAAGAAAACAAAATCAATGAACCCACTCAAAACTAAACAACATGACAAATGCAAAAGACAAAACCAATAACCAAAAAACAAAAACAAACAAAACAGCAAAACAAAACAAGGAAACAGGTCCAGGAGGGAGGCAACAGGTCCAGGGAGGGAGGGCAGGAGAAACCACACCTGTGCTAGCACAAGCTCCAACTGACACCTGACAAGTCCCAACCCCTCTCCTCATCCTGGAAAGACCACTCTCAAGCTCGAATGCTCCAATCAGGTGAGTAACCACCCTTACCTCCTGAATATACTCCCACCCAAACCCAATCTCTGCCTCATCTGCAAGCCCCAGTCATGCTGGCCCTCCCCATAGCTTCCCTCAGTCCAGGCCCTGACTTCAAAGTAATACAAAGCAGCTTGTCTATACAGTAGAACACACATAGCACACAGTCAACCTTTTGATCGCCCCAGATGTTAACCCCTTCCTGTCCAGTGTCATTAGTACAGTGTCCGTGCTTTTTATCAGCACTGATCACTGTATTGCTGTCACTGGGGATGCCAGTGGCAGTTAGTCAGCAGCCCCCCCCCCCCCCAGTGTCAGAATGCCCTGCCGCAGTCCCGCTATAAGTCGCTGATTGCCGCCATTACTAGTAAAAAAATAAATAAATAAAAAATCCCAGTATATATACCGCCATTTTGGCCAGAATTTATGACGAAATGTGATTTTTTAATTTTTTTTTATTGGACATGTTTAATAGCAAAAAGTCAAAAATATTGTTTTTTTTTTCCAAATTGTCAGTCTTTTTTAGTTTATAGTGCAAAAAGTAAAAAACGCAGAGGTGATCAAATACCACCGAAAGAAAGTTTTATTTGTGGAAAAAAAAAGGACACAAATTTAATTTATATACAACGTTGCATGACTGCGCAATTGTCAGTTAAAGTATCGCAGCGCCGTATCGCAAAAAATGGGGTAAATCCTCTGGAGAGCAAGTGGTTAAAAAAAATGAATATTTACAATCACTTTAAGCCCCATTAAGGGGGTTGACTTCAGGATGTCCAGCGTAAATGCTGTAAAATCATCCTGCTGACATAGTATAAAAAAAGGCACATATCATTGTTTTCCGTGAATGCAAGAAGGCTCCACTCAAACGACGATTACTGAGAGTTTATAGATATAATCCTAAAAAAATATCAGTGAGTAATAAAACTCATGTATTCCCACCTGTATGCCCAATTTCATACTCAGTATTACAGTACCTGATTCTTTCTGCTTTTTCATTTTCTTCTTATTCTGAAGTTTCCCCTTCAGTTTGGGAGGCATTGCTATGAGATAAGAATATAGTTGATAAAGTCACTGGATACCTACTTGTACATCCTGAAATGAATGAAAGATTTATAAAATAAAGTATAACTAAAGGCTAAACTTTTTTAAAAAGTTTGGATATAGTAGAGAGGGATTAGAATATCTATCAGGTTATTGCTGTCTGTACTCCCATTGGGGAGATTCACCCTCTCTATTTGTCCTGTTTACCATTACCACCCAAAGTGAAAGACTGTTCTGTCACCAGAGCAGGAAGAGAGGAGAAATCTTTCAATGGTGACACTAGTTCTGGTGACCCTGGTGAAATTCCAGGACCCCCTCACTTTGGAGGGATG